CGCTTCACGAATTTGCGTGTCATCCTTGCGCAGGGGCCATGCTAATCTTCTCTGTATCGTTCCAATTTTAGTATATGTGCTGCCGAAGCGAGCACAACATACGAATCTATGCGGGCGGTATTTATCGTAGGGCACATGAGATATGTCCCCCATTCATGGTGAGCACTGTAGTTCAGAATTCATGATTATTCTTTCACATTAACATATATGATCAGTACTATGTTTCAACAAGTCTTTCTTCAGCACATCACAATTAAGAGATGTTCTGAATTGAGAGAAAATACCCTTTTAAAACCTTTTTTTTCACGGAGGCAGCAGAGAACTCTGGGAGATGTCTGTGCAGCAGAAAGACTGAACCACGATCGTCCAATGGCAAGGGAGCCCGTAGAGAAGGCGGGACTTCCTCTCTGCAGGATTCAGGCCCGGCCCTGCGGAAGGAGGGGGAGATGTTTAAGTCCTTCAGACACAAAGACACTCAGAGCGACCTGCTGTAGTTCGGCTGCAGTCGCTTCTCCAGCGGGAGTGGTGCTTCACGAACTCGTGGACTGAGCAGCTCCTGTTCAGCGACTCATGCTAAAGCGTAACTAAATGACTGTTGTTGTAAATGTGGGGGAAGTGAAAGTGAACCAGTGAGTCGCAGGAAACCTGCCCGAGGCAGCAGAGGGAACTGAAAACTGTAGAGCAGTAGAGTAGTACATTAGTTTATAGCTCTGTGCTCATGTACACTGGCTCCCTGATTCACACTTTTCTCTCAGAGACGTACACATAGAACAGCAGACTACCCCACACAATGTAGACGTTACATTTCAAACATAGTAAATAATAACAACCAGAATGAACTGAGTGCTTTAATCAGGCTGGGAGGGAAGTCCCGATGTTCAGCAAAACCCCTCCAGCCACAAAAGGAATGTGACCTCCGGGGGTGGGATAGCTCAGTGTTTGAGCTTGGCAGCAGTGTACAGAGGTTTGTGTGTACTGAGTATACTGAGGACTGCGTGGCAGGGGGAGAAGGAAGTAGTGTGTTTCTGACACTGCACAGCGCCCCGGGGAAAGTTCAAACACTCTTTTTCCAAAGGAACACAACTCCCATGAGATCAGAATTTATTTGACCTTTGTTTTCACTTTGTAACGCACAACCTCCGACGTCATTTCAGCAGGTGAACACCTGGAAAAATGGGTTGGATAAGTGTTCACACCCCTCAGGAAGAGCAATGGTAAATCAGCTCCGGTGTGACCTATTACCTCCCACATGACACAACAAGCCAATCAGCCTCCCCCCCGTTCAACTGGAGCGGTTCTGATGACTTCAGAACAGAAGCAGCCCTTCCTGTCGCTCTCCTCTGCTGGGTAGTGTGTCCCCAGGTGAAGACACAACTGTGCCAACAAGGTCAAATGTCCTCTGGGACAATGTGGAAAGGCACAGACCGGGAGATGGATTTGAAAAGATTGCAGAGGCCGTACATCTCTGTCGGAACGCAGTCGAGAGCATCGTTTAGAAGTGAGAGGAGTTTGGCACCACCCAGACCCTGTCTAGTTCAGGCCGTCAGTCCCTACCAGATGACCAGGCCAGAAGGAGTCTGATCAGAGAGGCCGCTAGGAGACCAGTGGCAACTTTGAAAGAGCTGCAGGCCTTCACTGCTTGGCTTCGTGACTGGGCAAACTGCACCTGTGACGGCAAAATATCCCCGGCACTCCACGGATCGGCCTTATCTCTTCCACGTAGGGATCGAATCAGTTATTGCTGCACTTTACAGGAGATCGTCCGTATCCACCCAGCTTCGTTCGATTCATCATGCTAGGCACCTCTTCAGCCTGATCCAGTTACAGAAAAAATATCCACACTGCCACAGTGGTGGTGGTCTCCCTGGATGCAGAGGATGCAAGATATCAGATGGGGAACTGCGTAACAGCTCATCAACTGGTACAGTGAGCGATGCTCCCTCTGATTTTTAATGGCCTCTGTGTGCAAAAATTTCAGGTTGTGCAAATGTTTTCCCCTTTTTTTTGAAATTGTTAACCTGAAATTCTTTTAATACAGTCATTCTCATAGAAGCATGGAGATCCAAAAGACCGGGACAGCGATTCGATGAGCCACGTCACAGAGAGAGTGTGGAACGAGCATGAGCAGTAAGGTACGAGACAACGAGAGCAGAGATATCGATGATCGAGTAGCAATAATAATGCGCACGGCCAAGTTGGGCCTCAATTGTCTCATGTGGTCAATTGGGCATTTTTCAATTGACGACCGTGTTTATTTTATTATTGGCATGTTTTTTGGGGGAATTTAATTTTTTTTTTATGCGCAGTTCAATTTCCTATGCCGGCTGATTTTGTAACCTGTGTGCGCATGCACACGCGCACAGTTTAGAGGGGACATTGACAGTGACACCAGGTAGCCCATTGACAATTAAACCAGGTTCCCTCCTTGCCCCTGCTCTCAACGAGCAGCTGCTTGCTTTCCTAGTTGCTCCCCTGCTTCACAAATTCCTGCCTCCCTCTCTCCCCCGCCCAGGGCTGAACAGGCCTGGCTCCGGCTTGTCCCGGGAGACGTGTGTATCTGCACGGAAGCCTGTTAGAGCCAGGGAGGAGAAATATTTTTTAAACAAGATAGTAAAATGAGACACCTCTTTTCGTTTAAACATGATAACATTGCATTAAAGCACGATAATTCATTTGGGAACAATATTGCCTACTATATTCATACCTTGCATTATGTAGGCAATAACATCATCCCACACTACGTTGTATCGTGCTTTAACAACAGAAGAAAAACCTCACACTCCACAAAATAAATATGTATATTTTCTCCCTGCCTCTAATAAGCTTCGGCATATCTGTGCTTCGTGTGCAGGCTGATTTGAATACCCAGAGTCCTCGGCCTGCTGTCTCCACCGTGTCTCTGACTGCAGGCAGGCTGTGAGCTGGAGGGGTGTGGGAATGTGGCTCTGCAGGCTGGGCGGGGCTGAGCTGGCCAAACAGGTCTGCTCTGCTACAGCGAGGGCAGGGAGTGAATTGTGTACCTGGACTAGTCAACACTACAGTCAGGTACCGCTCACAGTACTGGGGATTATACTGGAGAGGAGGCTTCACCTTTCAATTCATAGCCATCTCTCTACAGCTGCCACAGAGCCACATTGCAGAGACACTGATCCGGGAGCTGGACTGTGTGAGGTCAGTGCTGAAGAGGGGTCAGAGGACAAGACTGAAGCTGCTGTGTGCTGGAGGGACAGTGAGATCAGTCAGATACAGCAGTGTGTGTGTGATCAGTCAGATACAGCAGTGTGTGAGTGATCAGTCAGTCAGGACTGAAGCTGCTGTGTGCTGGAGTGACAGTGAG